ATTATTATTATTATTATTATTAAATCCCTCCCAGTTACCGTAGTGTTCGACAGAGAGGGCAGTGAGTGAAGGTCACCAGACAGTACATTAGACTGCTTTATATCACTAAACATTGAGTTCATATTGGGAATTTCTGTAAGGCCAATGGTTGTGTTGTGTATTTGCACAGCAAACTTTGCTGAGCCAAGTGTGGCAGAAAAACATAACAATGGCCCAGTGTTGGAAGCAGTGAGTGCATGGTGCCACCTTTAGTCATTTAAAAGGTTCTGGTCACTCAAGACAGACCACGTCAAGGGACAGGGGTCATATTGTGTATCGAGCATTACAGAACCCTGTCTGAACCTTCCATCTCTGTGGGTAAATAAGCATATCATGTGCCAGTATTGTAGCAATGTTGTGGAGTGTTATGCAGTGTGTGGATCCAGAGGGTATGGCTTCAGGTCATCGCTGTCATTGGGGGATTCTGTTATGTCAGTGAAATTGTGCGTCTTTCTGTTTTACATCATTTAAGACAGCATCTTATTGGGTCTTTCAACAAAACAATGGATGACAAGTGAGTCTGTAGATTGTCTGCATCATCTTGAGGGCTTCTCATGGTCAGCAGGTCCCCCAGTCTTCCCCCAGACAAACGTGTGGGATCAGCTCAGACATCAACTCAACCCGGTGTATCTCTTGAGCTAGTTACAACAACTGGGGCCGACTTATTGTAGAAAACAAATTGCTGCTTGGTTTTGTTCCACACCACATCGATGCTTGTGTCACAGCTCAGAGGGAGGTGTGTGTGTGCTTACTGGCATCTCTGATGTGTTACTGTAATCACTGCAGTGCAGGTGTAAAACTTTTCAACGAGTGCAGTTCTGTTTCACTTTGATGCATTTTTTGTTGCTATTTTCTTTTGCTGTTGTTGTTGATGTTTTCCCGGTGAGTGTATTTATGATTAAATTATATTATCAAATTTATTCATTTCATTTAAAATAAAACAAAAACTAAACACATTTACATAC